CCGCTGCTGCTGGCAGGCCACTGTGTGTGTGTGTGTGTGTGTGTGTGTGTGTGTGTGTGTGTGTGTGTGTCACATTTATACATCTTATATGGCACGGGCAGTATAACATAACATGTCACTTACCTTTCGCAGTCAAGGAAACAGAGGCCCGCAAGTCTAAGTTCTTGCCCAAAGTGACTAAATTATCCCATGGTTCTTGGAGCTAGGAGTTGAGCCCAGCTAGACAAAGACCAGAGCCCCACTATCCACACTTGAGCATCGCTCCGCAGACCCAGGTTTAATGTTTTTGATGCTATTAATGTGGATACCTGTACATTGTGTGACCATGTTTTAGTCAATAAATTTGAAACATAAAGTATTATATAGAATTGATATTTCTTCTGTTTTTTTTTAATTTAAACATGTCAATTGCTGGAAAAGGAAAACTTATGTCGTGTACCTAGATTTAATAATTTAACATCTTTCAACTTTTACAATACTGCATAGGCCACACATTTTTTAGAATTTTTTGCGAAGTTGCAGACATCAAACATATATAGTTAAGTGTGTAGCTCTTTTAAAAAACAAACATGTTCTACTGAATGATACCACCAGGATCCCACCTAAGAAAATTATTAACTCCCTGGTTTCTTATATCCAGTCCAAATTCAACTCTCAATTGCCTACAATATGACTTTTATAGCTTTGTTTAAAACAAATTAGAATACTTTCAAGAATTGGCACATTATACTGGTTGTTATGTTTCTTTAGCCTCTTTTAATCTACAGGACCTCTGCCACTTTTATGTTTTTATGATGTTGACTTTATAAGTACTACGGGCTAATTTTCTTGTAAATAGTCCATATTCTGGGTGGCTTGGTGTTTCCTAGTTTCTCGGCAGCTAAGTTCTAGGAAAGAGGGATGTGGAGGATTATGTGAGGTCTGTGGTAAACAAGGGTTGCAATATACAGAGAGATAGCACAGTGCAGATGGCAGACAGATATCCTGGCTCTCAGGACACCTGACGTCTAAGTCTAATCAGTCCCTTGAGCCTTTGACTGTGGACCTCCTTAGACATCCTTTGGGTGCACAACGGGGGATATGACCTGGCGATCCATCCAGTTGGCAAGTATGGCTTTATGGAAGGTCTCAGAAAAGGATCAGGCATGTGCAAAGACATGATAGCCAACTTGAAGCCAATTCCATTGACCAAAACTGGAAAAAAAAAAAAGGGAAAATGAGTGAATAAACAATATTGGATTATAACCCATAAAATAAAATAGCTATCCATGATTCTTAACTGAATGGAATAAGAAATTACATAAATAAATGGAGAAGTGAAAGCTCTTCCTTACAGAAAATATTCAATTAATGAATGCAGATGAAATACGAAATATTTAAATATCATGAGTGAGTCAAGCACTAACTGTAGTATTGTCATAGGCAGAGTCTATGAATAGGTGCTCAAAAAAGTGCGAGAAAGTTTGAGAAGCAATATTTGCATTGTCTCAAAGTATCCCCTTCAAGATATTTATTAATTATAGAAGAAAAATGTTAACTCCACGTGAAAAAAATCCAGTAATGCCTCCTTAACCGTGTGATCAAAGTTAACTATTCCCAGTTATAAGGCATTTGATATAACATCATTGTGACATTTCTGAAATTCAATTAATGAATGCAGATGAAATACGAAATATTTAAATATCATGAGTGAGGCAAGCACTAACTATAGTATTGTCATAGGCAGAGTCTATGAATAGGTGCTCAAAAAAGTGTGAGAAAGTTTGAGAAGCAATATTTGCATTGTCTCAAAGTATCCCCTTCAAGATATTTTAATTATAGAAGAAAAATGTTAACTCCACGTGAAAAAAATCCAGTA